GATACATTTAACTGGAATTTTTTTCTTCTATTGGTTTTCTTAAGATTTGAAAAAAATGACTATTCCTATCACAACAATCCTGTAAAGTATCTATCTTTCTGTGCCTTCATTTGTGTGCCTGAAAGCTACTTACAGTTCTAATTTTATTTACTTTGAATCACTTTTAAAGTCACTTCTTCTCAGAATCTGTTTAACTAGCTTATAATCACTCCAGTGATCAGTGTGTTTTGGAGTTGGGACTACGAGGGCTCTGGCTTTGTTCCTTTTGCTCAGTGCTGTTTTGGCTAGTTGGGGTCTTTTGTGGCACTCTATGAATTTTAGGATTGTTTTTCTTTATCTGTGAAGAATGTAATTTGTGTTTTGATTAGACGGCACTGCATCTGTAGATTGGTTTGGCTAGTGTCATTTGAACACCACTAATTACTCTGACAGGTGAGCAGGGGGCATCTGTGCATTTGTGTGTATTCTCTTCACTTTCTTTCACTGGTATTTTATAGTTTTCCTTACAGGTATTTTATTTCCTTGGTTAAATTTATTCCTAGTTATTTTTTGTAGCTACTACAGATAGGATTTCTTTTTTTATGGGTATAAAAACAGACACACAGACCAAAGGAACAGAAGAGAACCCAGAAGGAAGTCCACCCATTTACAGCAAAATGATTTTCAACAAAGGCTCAAAGAACATACATTGGAGACAAGATGCCATCTCCAGTGGACGGGGACAGCAGAACTCGATACCCATATGCAAAAGAAAGAGACTAGACTCCTGTCTATCACCATGTACACAGATCAACTCAAAATGAATTCAAGACTGAAGCATAGACCAGAAACAGTAAAACTATTAGAATAAAATACCACGGAAGTATTTCAGGATATTCATCTACTGGTCAGAGGTTTTGTGGCTGAGACTTCAAAATCACAGGCAATAAAAAAAAAATAGACAAATGGGACTATATTAAATAAAACTCTTCTGCACAGCAAAGGAAATAATCAACAGAGAGAAAAGACAACATGTATAATGTGAGAAAAAAATCTGAAAATTATTTATCCAAGGGATTAATACTCAGAATACAGGAGAAACTTACACAACTCAATAGCAAGAATAAATCATTATTAAAAAATAATCTGATAAAAAGTGGTCAAAGGAACTGAGCAGACATTTCTCTAAAGAACACATACAGATGGCCAACAAACATACGACAAAAATGGTTTACACCACTGACCATGAAGAAATGCAAATCAAAACCACAATGAGATGTCACCTTGCTCTCCTGAGAACAGCTAACATAAGGCCAGGCGTGGTGTCTCACGCCTGTAATCCCAGCACTCTGGGAGGCGGAGGCTGGTAAATGGCTTGAGCTCAGGAGTTTGAAACCAACCTGACTAAGAATGAGACCCCATGTGTACTAAAAGAGAAAAACTAGCCAGACGTTGTGACAGACACCTGTACTTCCAGCACTCAGGAGGCTTAAGCAAGAGGATGGCTCAAGTCCAAGAGTTTGACGTTGCTGTGAGCTAGGACACTACAACACTCTACCCTGGAGCAAACAGAATTAGACTCTGTCTCAAAAAGAAAAAAAGAAAAAGAAACCAGAATAGCTAGTATAAAAAAACACGCAAGGTGGCTCGGCGCCT